TATATTTATAGGTAGGTTAAGTTTGGGTTTAATTCAAACTATAAGTTACCTATAGAAATGCAATGTCGTTTGACCAATGGTTGGCTTTGAACGACCTTGGTACCTTGTACCAAATATCCCGAAGTGTGACGTGTCACACTTCATGTAACCAGGGTACACTTAGGGCTACGTACCCCGTTACATCCTCCCCCACTTAGGTTCGGCTTACCGACCAATCAGAGTGAAGAGGTGTTCGTCACAAACTCTCATTCTCAAAGTCGAAAACCATCGACTTGGCCGCGCGAGCGCGGGGGGAGGCTCACTTCACAGTTAGAGCCTCGAGCAGCAACCTGTGCGCTCTTCGTCTAGGTCTCCAACTCGACCGTTACCATGCCTCGTGGTACAGCAAAGAGCGGTGCTAAGACACGCTCCAAGGCTGCTGCCGGTAAGGCGCAAGCCAAGAGCACTAAGCCTCACGGTAAAGGCTCGGCACTCAAGGAGGCTACTCAGGTGGCCTCCGAGGCGATCGGGTCCTCGGGGTGACGCGCCTGTGGACAAGCGCGCAAGCAAGCCGTCGCAGCCCGTCGCCCTCATCTTCAGACAATCGTCCGAACCCTCGGTTCGTGGAACGTGAGCTCAACTCGGGCAGTGAGGACGATGCCGAGTCCGAGAGCACGCACGATGCTCCTGTGGGCTCTGTGGGAGGGCACAGCCCAGTGCTCAGTGAGCAACAAAGATGACAGCGTGCAGTCGCTCGCCTAGTGATCAAGGTGGATCACAGTCCCAGGACCTCTGTGCGCTCCGAGAGTCCCGGCCCGCCAAGGCCTAAGGGCGCTCTTCAAAGCCGGTGGCGATGAGGAAAGAGAATCCTCGCAAACGTCTCTCGCTTGCCGAGGGTCTTGCGCGAGCTAAGGCCTCTAAAAGTCGAAGACGCCAAGCCCTCAAAGAAGCGTACAGCATCTAAGTCTCCACTCCGCGAGGAGAAGGAGTCTCAACACTCCTATCGGGCCCTCTTCGACTCCTCGGATGAAGAGGAGAAGAAGGAGGAAGAAGAGGGGGAGGAGGGTGCTATCGCTGAGCCCCGGGAGGTCTCGAATGACCTCGACCAGCAGCAGGAGGACTTCCAAGCTGCCCAGCGTGTCCGTGGGGGTTCGGTGGTGGCACCCGTCAGCCAGGGAGCTGCCATCAACTCAAGAGGGTATTGGTCTCCCGAGGGGTGCTCTGGGGCTGACCTCTTCTTAGAGCTTCTCGTCGCTCCTCGTGGCCTTGTGAGTGGCCACACTTCTAGAGGCATCTATGAACGAGCCCTTGTTCAGAAAGAACAGTTGTTCGTCGACGACTTGGAGGCTGCTCGGTGTGTGCTTCTCGCATTCCTCTCAAAGACTTCACGACTTGTCGTAAGAACCCCGAGCCCCGGGGTGGTCTCTATCCTCTTTGGGGATCCCCCTGGGTGATGCCCGAGAACTTTCCCACGTGGAGTTCTTGTGAGGACATGTTCTGGGCATGGGTGGAGACTCTTAAGTACTTACCCACGGAGTTACGGGAACTCCATGAAGATCAGCTGCTGTCCCGCATCCTGGACCAGCGTAATCTTCGTGTGAGGTTTGCCCACTTGATCAGCAAGCGCATGCTGCCAAGGGACATCCTGAAGCGCGCGGCTTCTAGCGCTCACGATGAGCGCGGGTACGGAATGTATTCATCGTCCGTACCCCGTTCGGGCAAGAAGACCCGGACTACTTATGGAGCTGCCGCCGCTTCTGTTCCCAGATTGCGACAGCCTTTGGTCAGTCAATCAGGAGCCGTTCAATCGGCTCCTACGAGTTCTCGGAGTGGGCATAACCCCTCCACTTCACGAGGAGCTGTCGCTTACCGCGACGCCGTTGCTCCTGGAGGATCCGCTCCACGTGGAAGTGGACCTCTCCATTCCAGTCAAGCAGGGGCGGAGGTGCCCTCGTACGAGTACGAGTACTCGGCGCCTCCCGAAAGCCACTCTCGTCCGAGTGCTCCGACTGCGGGTCCGACACAGGGCCCTGAGGTTGACCGCCTCCGTCAACGTGTCCTCGTGCTTGAGATTGCACTTGGCCTTGGGACTGGCGGTGATTCTGCCGCCCAGGTCGGGAATCAGGGCGAGCTCGCTCGTCTTGCGAGCCGCCTGGACCTGTTGAAGCGAGAGGTCGCGAGCCTGCACCTGCGGGTGGATCGCCGGGCCTCTTCGTCCGATCTGGACGAGGCCTTTCGCATGATCCGACGGATCGAGGCTCTGTTGCCACGTCCGGAGCCGCCTGCGGCACACTCCCAGACGTACGCGTATGGTGCGTAGCCGGCGTACTCAGCGTACTCGGCGTATGGCTCCGGGGTCCGTTCGTATGGAGCCCCTCCGGCGTACGGTCTTGACCGCAGCCTTGCCGTCCCGACCGAGGCTTGGGTGCCTGCTCCGACGCCCTAGTCGACGACTGTGACCGGCCCTCGCTTTGAGGAGCTGGGTCAAGGGGGGTCTGCGAGTCAGCAACCGCCTGCGGGTCAAAGTACCGCTTAAGACGTCCAACATAGAACGTCGGGTGCGTCGTCATTGACTTTGGCAGGTCGATGGTGTGCGACGCACCATGTCTGGCCAGGACTGCAAATGGTCCGATGAAGCGGTGCTTCAGCTTGTTGCTGCCGACAGAGCTGACAGTGTCTAGAGGTAGGTTCCTCGTGTTTAGCAACACTAAGTCCCCAACTTTAAATATACTTAAGTTTCCTCTTCCATGTTTGTCTGAGTACTCCTTTTGTTTATCTTGGGCCGCTGCCATGGCATCGCGGACCCTGCTGACAACGCTCAGCTTGGTATCCATAAAGGATTCCACTTGTTTCCGCAGCGAAACTGGTCTCACATCCGAGACCTGAGAGGAAAGGGCTTTCCGAGCCTCTCCCCCACTTAGAATAGAGGAGTCAGTGTTTCCTCGAAGAGTGAGAGGCACTCTGGGGTGGCGGAAGCCGTTCAAGTAGAACGGCGTGAACCCCGTGGACGCGTGCACCGCGTTGTTGAGCGCAAACTCAACAACTGGAAGCTGCGTCGACCACGTACGTGGCGCTGCCGCGCACACACTGCGCAGAGTGTCCTCGAGCACTCGATTGACGCGCTCTGTTTGGCCGTCTGTCTGCGGATGATCCGCAGTGGACATCTGCAGACGAGTTCCCAGTAAAGGGAACAGCGTTTTCCAAAACGCAGCAGTGAACCGCGGGTCTCGGTCCGAGACAATCGTCTCCGGGAGACCGTGATAGCGGAACACGCCATCGACGAACAACCTTGCGGTTTGTTCGCCCGTCACAGTGACGGGAACTGGAGCAAGACGTACCATCTTGCTCAGCCGACACACGAACACCAAAATTCCGGTGTTGCCGTGTCCGTCGGCGGGAAGCCCAAAGATGAAGTCAAGACTCATCGACTTCCAACAATCAGCCGGTACGGGCAGGCTCTGTAGTGGAGCCGAAGAGTGCTCTGCGGGATTTAACCCGCTGACATGTTTCACATGTCTTGACGTACCGGGGCGACTCACTTGTACATGTGGGTCTACCAGAAGG